TAAGCCGCTTGGGTTGGGGCCAATGTCATATGGTTCGCAAAACAGGTGGAGCTTGGGAGAATGGTGTGATACACTGATATCAACAGGCCCTGCCGGTTCCATAGGACAGTTTCCGCTTCCCCGTATTGACCAGTTAGGTTGAATTGCTCGGGACTACCGGGATGTATCCGAAACATCACAAGATCACTAAGCCCAAGCAATTGGATGATTATTCCTTGGTATATATCAAATAACAAATGGACCTGCTAGAATGAGGAGCCAACATCTTTTTCAAACAGGATTAAAATGATTTAAAACTGCTACTAGTAGTAATATCGTTCGTGACTCAAAAATAACAGGGTCAACATACCAACGGTCTGATGATAAAGGATTTTAAGAAACCTATCGGGCGTACCATGGAAGTCTATGTAGACGACATGCTAATAAAGAGTCTCGAGAAAATCCCAGCATATCTCGTGATTTTGGAAGAATGTTTTTGCCCTCTTTCGATCTTACAACATGCCGCCTCACCCCTCCAAATGTGCAATTTGGGGTGCCTCAGGAAAATTTTTGGGGGTTCATGGTTACCCATCGGAAGGATTGAGGCCCCAAAACCACCCGGGAAGAAGAATTCAAGCCCTTAAGGGGAAATTTTCACCTCCCCAAGAAATATTCAAAGAAGTCCAGAGATTGAACGGGAAGATTGCAGCACTCTTTTCGATCCTGGGCCGATCAATGAGACAAATATTTGCCTTTCTTCAAGGTTCTCAGAGTGCTCGGGAAAATTTAGATATTTTTCCTCTCTACTTCCTCTGGTCACTTTATATAAACCACATCAACACTTTTAAGGCTATAAATATGAATTATTATAATAGGTTTTTTTTTTTTTTTTTTGGGATAAAGGAGCCAATTAATGTCATCTTTTAATTAATTATTTGCATGAAAAGATTTATTGTGATAGACATAAATTATGGCCTTAGCTCTCCACAAATGTAAGGAATATTTGGTATTTTATTATATTATGAGAGCATTTCAATTTAATATTATTCTGAATATAAGTTAAGATTAGAAGTTTAAAAGTCATTAAATTATATTTTGAATTTGATATAATAAAACTCTTCATATTATATATATAATATATATATATTATATATATATATTTATTATATATATATATATTATATATATATATATAATTTTTCAAAGCAATTTATTGGAATAAACATTTTTTCTTGCTTCAAATTTTAGGCTTTGTTTGAAATTGTTGAAATGTTTTTGTAAATATAATTATATAGCTATTGTATAGAAAATATTTTTTTTAAAACTATTATGAATGTTATAAATATATTCTTTTTTTAAAAATCAAACAGTTATTTTCTTAAAACTATCATACATTGCTAACTCTGATCGTATAATTTCGCTTTACATTAAATAAAATATTTAAATAATAAAAAAATAATATTCAAATAAAATTAAAAAAATGACATAAAAGTAAAAAAATTGCCCTAAATACTTTACTTGTTTGTAGTTGTTCAGTGCAATCACAGACTAAGGCTTCGTCTGGGACGGTTTTTTTTTACTGATTTTTATAACGGAGTTTTAGTTAAAAAATAAAAAAATTTGTATTAAAACTCCGTTTTAGAAAGCAATAAAAAAGCCGTCCCAAACGAAGCCTAAATCACTGAATAATGTAGAGGGTATCCATCAGCATAAATTTTTATTTGTTATTACTGTAGTGATTGATTGCCTCATTAGTGAGTTCACAGAATTCTTATGATACAGGAAGAGGTTAAACAGCTTGGGATATGTCGCTGGTGGAATACGCAAGAAGCCGAATACTTCGGTAACATAACAGTAACAACATGCAATAAATACATGCAATTGAACAGTGAAAAGAGAGATGAATTAGGGGTCCTTCACGAGATTGTTATGAACAGCAGCTGTTGGAGTTTTGTAGAGGAAATTAATCAATTTGTTTTAATCATCTTGAATTCACCTAATTATCTTTAGATCTTTAGTACGATGATATTGATCTAAAGATAGAGTTTGAGGTTCTGTGTGGGATGACTGCAGTGATTTATAAAATTGGTTGTGAAGTTGCTATAGAGAAAACAACTTCGCTATTATGATTGCAGAAAATAGCTTTCCGTAATAGAAATGATGAAAATAGTGAAAAAGCAGTACCCAAATAAAGTAATTGAGGTGAAAGCACGGCTATATATTATACTATCTTTGATTTTCATTTATTTTGTTAGCAATAATGTAATTTCAAGTTTCAATGGATTGACGAGATATCTTTAACCTCTGCTACTTTAAGGGGTGCGTGTACATATAAAGTTGAGCTTTGAAGTTTCTAATTGCTGCCTTCAAAATGAATTGGCGCAGTGTATGGAGCGTACTAATGACATCTCCAATAAAGAAATGTTTGATAATGCAAGTAGAAGAATATTTGCTTGTATGGTAAGGACTGTTGCAAATTGCAAGTCTATTTTAATTTGTAGCAAAATACATGCCCTCAACAATTTTGTCATAAATATATTAGAGGTCTTGGGATCTCCTCTAAAAAAACTCCAAATTAGCCAAATTAATATCTTATTTAGTCGCTATTTAATCATTTCCATCTACACAAACATGCTTAATTAAAATATATTCAATTAAAATTGGTTGATTCAAACATTTGCTATACCCATATCCATACTAGGGTTTTTTTACCAAACATACATAACTATTAGTGGTCGATATGAGGAGCAAAATGTTGAAAGCAAAGCTACATCCAACTACAAGGCATTCTCTTCAACATAACTAAAAGGAAAGAGATACAACACTGCTTAAAAATTCACTCTTCAAATTTAAATCATAATAGTCATATAAGAGATGCCACAATAGTCATAAAAAATAAAAGGGAGCAAGAAAAGGAACTGTATGGTGTAAAACTTACCTTTGAGAAGTTGACGATTGGTGAGTTGTTTGGCAAGGTGTCGAGTGGCCAGATGTCAGGAAAGTTAATGACTAGGTTCAGTCCACTGACCTGAACTAGGTTACTCGCCCGTTGACCCGACCGCCAACCCGATACTCGTTCTTCAACGAGAGTGCTGACCACTACTGCCCCGCAAGCCTGAATAACTCGCAGACAAACACATCTATGCTAGTCTTTAGTTATGATAACCACTGGCATCCCTCTTAAATTTAATTTTTTGAGTTATATTTTCCATTAGTTAATTACTAAAGGGAGTTCTTTTAAAATTTTTTCCGAACTAAAACTAATATGAAAAAAAAAAAAAGAGAGAGTACCTTAATTTGATTCATTGAAGTGTTTCTTTCTCCATCACATGGGCAGAAATTTATCCCATATTCCCATCACAAATTCATATAAAAATCTGTCCCCACAAGAGCTAGATTTCCACAGAAAATAAATCTAAAATAAAATTTTAGATCTAAAAGAGGAAATCTTCTGCAATTAATAGATCAAAGTTTTTTTTTGGGGGAAAGATTAATAGATCAAAGTTCATCATTTTACTTAATTTCCCTGCAATTAATTAATGAATTGGCTACAATCAGAAACAGAAACCAGGAAATACACAGAAGAGCAAGACTTATTTTCGATTAAAATGGAAAATTTTTAAACTACATCTCAAGAAAAAAAAAAAAAAATCTGTACAGCCACTAGCGCCAGCCTCCCCTGTCTCGCCGAGCCACTTAGCGGCACTCATCTCCTCTTGCTCACTCGAACCGGTAATCCTCCGGCGAGAGAAGCCGTGAGCCCGGCGGCGAACTTCGGTCTTAAGCTCAACCTGTCGGACTCAACCGGCTCAACGTTGAAATCCCGGAGGATTGTGACAATCACCGTTTTCATTTCCATGATAGCCATTTCCTTCCCCAAGCAAACACGAAGCCCACCTTGAAAAACGGGGTATTTGAACTGGTTCGCCGGCGTAAAAACGCCGTCTTGGAGCCATCTCTCTGGGTTGAAATCAAGGCAATCACTCCCCCAAATAGCTTCCATCCTTCCCATGGCGTAGGGGTGGTAGGTCACCCTCGTGTCCTTTCTTACAAAAGTCCCATCAGCCAGCACGTCGTCCTCTAAGCAGAACTTGGAGTCGAATTGAACCGGCGGGAAGAGCCGCATACTCTCGTAGAGCGCCGCGTGGACATAGTGCATTCGCCGCAAGTCCTCGTAAGTCGGAAGAGCAGTCTTGCCGCTTGTGAAGGCATCCACCTCTTCGCGAATGGCGGATATCACATTTGGGTGTTGGGAGATAACGAGGAAGAAGGTAGTCAAGCCGGAGGCCACCGTATCCCGACCGGCGAGCAGGAAGCTAATGACAATGTCGCGCAAGTACTTGTCGTCATCAACCGAAGCCATGAACCGGGAAAGCAAGTCGTGGTTGGAGGCGAACCCGAGCTTCCTTCTCTGTCTTATAACTTCATCAGCCAAATCATTCACAAGACGAATCGAACGCCGAAGCTCTTTTTCCGAGCCTAAATTGAGCATCCGCTTCACCTTCCACACAATCGGTGCGGCAACCACGGCCCGCCGCGCGGACATCATCGAAGCCATGTCAAACGCCGCTGCAAACTCTGATAAAGGGAGAGACAAGTCGAGACAAGCCGGGTCGAGGCCAAACGAGATCTTGCATATGTTGTCGAACGCGAATCGGCGGAAAACATCTTGAAGATCGATGGGAGCAGCGGAGACCGAGCTTGAGAGAGAAGAAAGCAGGGGAAGAACGCGGTCGCGGATCTCAGCGGCGACTATTTCGAACGCGTAGGTGCGGACAGAGACACTGCCGAGCTCAAGGCTGGCCATCTTGCGCTGGAAACGCCACGCGTCGCCGTCGACGTTGAAGATGCCGTGGCCGAGGAGATCGCCGAGGATGGAGGAAAAGGTCTTGCCTTTCGGAAAATTGTCAAAATTCGTCTTGAGCATGTACTCAACGTTGTCAGGGTTGGCGGTGATGGTGTTCCCCAGCACATGAATATGAATGGTTCCCGTCGGCGAGAGGCGGAGGAGGTGAGTGTACCAATCGCAGAGATTTTCGAACTGATCGGTCCATGTGGAGTTGAGATAAGCGCGGCAGACCTCGCAGTTGCACCATGGGCGGGAGCGGAGGAGGAGTAGGAGGAGAGAGAAGATGAAGAAGCCGGCGGCAAAGGAGAAGAAGGAGGTGGAGATGAAGGCTTGGGGGGATGGGATTAGGGGGAGGAGAAAGGAGACGACTTGTTCCATTGGAGTGGAGAAGGGGCGGCTCTGGGCAATGATGGGAGGAGAGAAGGAGGAGGGATGTTTCATTATATAGGAGTTCTGCGGCTCGCTTTCGCTATTTTTTAATCTAAAGATAGTGGCTATATAAAATTAATGCTAGTTTTATAGCGTCGCTATTTTGATGTTAACTTGTTTATCTTTATATTATCGCTATTGGGTGATGTTTAATTATTTATTTATTTTGCCGCTTTTTGATAATTATATATATTAAATGAAGTATGTACGGTTATTTTAATAATATATATTTTATATAAAATAAAATATGTTTTAATATAAATATATAATATATATTTTATTTTAGGTTGCTAATTTTAATTCGTTAGTTGAAAACTCTGACTACCAATTAATAGATTTTACATTTGAAATTTACCTATATGGTGTGTGATTGTCTTAATTTGCTAAAAAGTTAATTTTTTTTTTTGTTAAATATTTTCATTTAAATTTTTTTATATTTTTAAATAAATCTCATAATTTTTAATCCAGATTTAATATTGTTTTTATTGGGATATTCTTGTGACACCTCTAGATTAGAGTACTATGCAAACCGGTTTGCTTGATTAGAAGTTAGTTAATTTATTGGATTTTTGTGTCTGAACTCTTTTGCATGAGCTTAAGAATGATCTGTATGCATGAAAAATGTTTGCATGAGTTTTGGAGCAAGTTTTAGGGGTCTGTATATATGTTTGAGAAATATGAATATTTTTCATTGAAGTGCTCCGACGCTGTGTTTTCTTGCACCTGGATGAAGAAAATGAAATAATGCCCATTGCTTTTTTTTTTTTTAATTGGGCCCTGGCACTAGGTCAAATTATGCAATTATTCCCATTTGATTTGTTTGTTTTGGCAGCTGGCCAAGCGAGGGAATGAGAGGGAAAGAATGGATTTGAGATGCTTCGTACCATTATTTGATGTCGGCCCAATTTTGAATATTGTTCGGATCAAGATATGTCATATTTTGTCGTCTCAATTTTTAAAACTGTGAAGTTTTCTTGAATTTTTTTATTAAATTTATAATTTGGTTATGAAAAAATGCCAATCACTTTGTATTGATTAAACTTTAATCGTGTAACTTTTTTTATGTTATACAGATCGAGATTCTAAATATTTTTTTAAAAATTTTATAACGGGAGTTTTGGAATTTATATTATTTTTATTGAATAAAAAATCATACGTACTCTGAAAAATAATATTGTAGTACTATTTAAGTCTTAAAATAGTGTTATACACGATCTTTGATAATTTGATTATTTTTTTAAAAATGTGTATTTTTCTTAGTAAAGTTTTCTATTGCCTATTGTTAGGGCATTTTGGCAAATTCTAAAATTTGTCTATTTAGGCATCAATCATTGTAATACATTGAAATATGTGCTTAAATAGTTAAAATAGTTGATTTTGTGGAGATCTAGAAGGGGTGGAGAAAGTTCTGTTCTTATAATATATATACATTTTGCTTCAGAGTTGTTGAACTTTATTTGCTACTCTAGTTGAACTATGTTTATTACTTTGAGTTATTGAACTTTGTGTATTGGGAGGCATAAGGGTCAGAGTTATTGAACTGTATGTTGGGAGGGATATATGAAGCACTTGTATATTTTGCTTAAAATTATGATAACTGCATGTATTTCTCTACTCAGTCCTGTTTTTAATACTCTGTGAGTGTTTAATAAATGAAATGATTTGAGATTTTAGATCAATTGAAATATGGCTTGCAAAGTTGTTTTAGCTCACCGTTGTTTTGCATTCTATTTTTTAAGGCATAGGAAAGTGAAGGATCTTATTGAGTAGTTATTTCAAGAATATGACTTGGGCCCATATAAGTATTTCTCTATTTTGAACAATCATTGATAGCTTTTATTACGTTCTACTCAATATTTTGTTGTTTGTAGCTATGTACAAAAATATAACTAATGTATATATAAATTTTGATGATAAAAAGAAAGAGACTTTGTGGATGAGTTTATTATTAGTGAAGTGGATATTGTTAGCAACTCTGTAGTTTGCTGTTTGTTTTAACTTTTGTATTGGAAGAAAATCTAAAAAAAAAAAATTAAAACAAGATCTTGAGATTTACCTATTGCAAGCCAGCATGATATAACTTGTCCCAATTATTACGTTTTTTTTTTTTTTGGATTGGGTTGTGACAAGCCTTTTGGTATGCTCCACAGTTAGTTAACACACATATGAGAAGTGATACATATTTTTGAGGGAACTATAAGATAGTTTGAGACAATCACTTATTTTATTTCAAGTTTTTTTATTTCTCTGAGTTGGTAGAGTGAGCCAAATTAATTCAAAACGATCTAATAGCTACTTAACAATGATGGACTGCTAGTATAAAGCGTTTTAATAGTAAGACTTCAAGTAGTGGGCTTTTTGAGGAAAAAAAAAAAATTAGTCAGAGAGTCTCCAGGAGAGGGGGCTATTTATAGCAGTTCCTAGTAGCTATAATGTGACCAATCCATATTCTGTTAGTGGATCGCCTTTGTGTCGCATTATGGTAGATGATATTCTGGTTAGTGCTAGAAGATGACTAGACAGTGCTTCATGTGTGGGTAGATTTGTCACAAGGTGGCCGATTGTCCACATAAAGGATTGAATTAATGATCTGAGCCCAAATATGAGAGTCATGTTAAGCCTATAGGAAAACCAACAATAGTTCCATTTCATACATTTGTTGAGAGTTCTTTTTACAGAAGTAGTGGCTCTGGTTTTGTGATAGAGATGCCATTAGATAGTGATCAGAGAGAGCCTAGTGGTTCAGTTGTTCCATCTCCAATTCAACTTCATGTATATATAGCTAATAGAGTTTATTTCTATGATATAGAAATTTATGATAAGTGGTGAGCTAGTTTGATTTTGTTACCCATTTCTAAAAATAATGTAATTTTGAATATTAATTTTTTGGGTCAGTAGAAGACTCAAATTGATTGTTTGAAGAAAAAAGTCACGTTCTTTTTTTGAAGTGAGATTTCTGTATTCCAGAGAGTTAGAGATCTTTTTCTTATTAGATTTCTGTTGTGAAAATAGATAGATTGTGAAAGAAAGCTTATATAATTTTTTTTTTGGCATAAGTTCAGGATAAGAGTATAACTTATGATTTTCTTTCTTATGTTACAGTAAAGAAAAAATTCACAGATATTTTTCTGAGGAGTTAGTTTGTTTGTTTATGGATTGAGATCTATAGTTCTATATTAAAGTATTTTTGGGTACGACCCTGATTTCCAAATCTCCATATACGATGACACCTAATGAGCTTAAAGAGTTGATAGATCAAGTTCAAGAGTTTGTTAATAGAGGATTCATTTATCCTAGTGTGTCTCCACGAGTAGCTGTTATCTTATTTGCAAGGAAAATGGACGGTATAATGTGAATGTATATTGATTACAATGAATTGAATAAAGTTTATATCATGAACAACTATCATTTACCTATGAGTGATGATATAATTGTTCAGCTTATTAGATCTTATATTTTTTTCAAGATTGATAAATGATTTGTATTATTAGCTGAAAGTGAGAGAAGTAGATGTGATAAAGACTATTTTTAGCACTCAGTATGGGTTCTATTAGTTCTTAGTCATATCATTTTGCAGTGACTAATGCACCAACTTTTTTATGAAATTGATGAATTAATTAGGTATTAAGATATTATCTGGATTAATTTATTATTGTGTTTATAGAAGATATTTTGATTTTTTTTTCTTTTGAAAGATAATTTTAAGCATTTAAAGATTATTCTGGAGACTCTAGGGCAACCTCAGCTATATGTAATTTTTTTAAAATGTAAGTTATGGCTGAAGAGTATTACGTTTATGGGGCATGTGTTGAGTAGTGAAGGTGTAATTCCCTAGAATTAAATTTAAAACAATTATTTATTTTATCTATTAATAATGATAAAAACCACCAATAACAGCAACAAAAATACTTCAATTGATCAAAACATCAATATATATTTGTATTCATTCTCCAAAAATTATATATAATAGTTAGGAGTTACATAATCACAATGTATAATTAATCTGCTATTTACTACAAAATAATAGTTAAACAAAATAATAAGAAAAACCAAGATGATCTTGTAATTGATCAGTTTCACAGTCCCAATTCTCTTCCCTAACGTGAAATTATTTAAAGTACATATAATGAGCTTATAGGCCTAGTAGATCACTAAATCTTAAAACTAAACTCAATGCATGGTAAATAAGTTGTATGTATGCCATCCGTTAATTAATAATGGTGGCAATCATTATAATCATAAATCTATGCATAAATGGTAAACAATATATAGTAACAGCGAAATATGTAAACCAGTAAAATAGTATGATACAAAAGCCATTAAAACAATATAATTAAGAAACAATGAAATTTGTAAACCAATATATTAATAAATCAGTACGGGTGTCAGTTCATTAAAGTAATCATCATAGCATTAAATTAATAAGAAAATCCTATAAATCAATAAATTGAAACATCTATAAAGACCGTTGAAATCATATTAATGCAATAAAATTACATAAGAGTATACAAATGATATTCAACAATTCTATATTTGTATCAATTAATATTGTATATTACCTACTTAGTAGTAGGAATCACGTGCCAATTAGAATCTTATATTATATACTTAATAATAGGTATCACATGCCAATCAATAAATAAGTAAAAAATAAATCAATTGTAGTAATACTAGTCATGAATCAATAATAGTATCAGTAACATTATTAGTATCCATAAATCTAGTGGCAATAATAATAAATATTAGAATAGTAAAATAATATAGTAGTAGTAGTGTAGTAATAGTAAATCAATACAATAATATGCAATTTAATAATCATACTAAATAATTAAGAAATTCTTACTTGCATTGTATTTTTCTAGTAGTCAGTAATTCGTAATATTTGGCTTAGTAAATAAAATCATCACTCATTGTCTGTCAGTACAGTAATAATATAAATTCTTATAACTCTCAATCACTAAATTACATGAATTAATAGAGGATAATACCAAA